AAGTCTATTTTTATTCTTCAACTTCTGGTGTGAAACATTTTTTCACACTTTTAAATAGAAAATTGCAAGCTGAAATTCAAGAAAATCCAAAACAAAAAAAAGATCCATTGATCATCAACCTAACTGTGTAAAAAATCATGACCGTAAAAATCCTCCCTGTAAATAATACTGCCACCAATCAAACTAAATATTTCCTTTCTAAGAATGAACAAATTGCTGAAGAAGAAACAATTTGGCTAAAGAAAAAGGAACGTTTTCTAACTTGTAAGGAAGCAATTAATAGAATCATGTGGGATTCTGATTTAAATGATGCCTATCTTCACTTGTCAATGATTTACAAAGACAGATTTGAAGGTGACACTTTTATTTCATATGAAGAATTCTTAAATAGTGATTTGGCTGAAGAACTTCCACAACACCGAATTCAACAATTGATTTATAGAGATGAATATGTATTCTGGGATAAGAATAATAGAATTGACATGTTGTCAAATGGTCAATTGGGAGAATTGATTTTGAAATTCAAAAAGGAAGAACAAGAAAGAATTGCTAGAGAACATGCTGAATTCACAACTGTTTTACAACCAACAACTCCAGAAACCTCAACTTTAAAATCTTGTTCACAAAAGAAGAATAAGAAGAATAAGAAAATTATGAAGGAATTTGTTAGAAATCAAGAAACAGGCAAACAAATTGTTTCATCTATTGACGAGGATGATGAGTATGAACAATATATGGAAGAATATGATGAACAATATTCAATCTATTCTAAATATTAAATAAATTGTTAAACAATTTGTGCAATAGTCATATCTACCTTTGGAGCTTCAACACTAACTGCAGTATTCTTTACATTCCAACAATTAACCAACCTGGTAGGCCACTAAAACTACTAAAACTGTGAACATACTATCCACACTTGAGAGTGAAAATGTGGCTCCACATAGATTTATGAAGATTAGAAACCTTTATTCTTACACTACTATTATTTGATTTCTTTCTCTTGCAGAAACAGTATTAATGAGCATTTGTCTTGCCAATTGTCCCATCAATCTGCCTTTCCACACCACAAATGCTTCATCCAAACACAATTGAGAAAAGAGCATGTGAGCTCTCTGAGCTGATTGAGACTCGGAAATTGTAATATCACATGTTTCATATTCAATTCGAATAATATCAGTTTCATCACGATCTTGCAATTCGAAACTGGCATACCCAGCCATATTAGTTGCAGAAGAATCATTTCCATCATTTGCTGATCCATATCCTTCATCAGATATTGGTGCAAAATTTGATGCTTGAGTGATTTCCTTTCCTGAATTATTCAATCTAGCTTTCATTAGATTATATTGAAATTCCAAAGATTTCAGATGCACTTGTCCTAATAGAACCAAATTGTCCTTACTTGAAACAACGGGTAAAATCTTTGGTAATTTCTTCTTTTGTAAGAGGAGTTCAAGATCTCTCATTGAAACATTCTCTTCCAAAATGTCTAGTTTATCGACAGATGTCATAATATTGGTAACTTTCAAATCTTCTGAATCTGTCATACTCTCCAATAATGCTGGCCATCCCTTTACCTTAATACTGGTATCATAAAAGTTTGCTGTGCACAATCTTGAAATTCTGACAGCTATCAAAGCAGCCATTAAACTTGGAAGATAAACAGCAACACCAACAATTTCAAGGAAGATGAAAACAGTTGAAAATGCATGTGTGGCTGATGCTGTCAATGCCACAATACCAACAACTGCATAAGCTCCTGCATAAATTGGTTGTCCAGCAACAAATCCATTTGGAAATATAATTGCCACTATTTCTCCAAAGAATCTTCCACATCCAGCTCCAATAATAACTAGTGGAATGTATGTTCCTCCTGGAAGTGGCAAACTCATTGAAAAAATTGTGAATATCAATCGAATCACAATGAAAATGGCAAGAGAGG